CAGGAAAATAGTGCAGGTTGTTGATTAATGTGATGTCATAGATTTAAAAAAACAACTTTAAGCAGGTTGTGACAGAACCAACCGCTGGCAAAGATAAAAGTCTTGGTGTATTAGGTGGCGATGGCGATTGTGAAGTCAGCTAGCTAGCGTATGTAAGCATTTCCAGGAAAATAAATTGCAGGTTGTTCAACTATTTTGATGTTGTAGGTTACTTAATTTTAAGCAGGTTGTGACAGACCAACCGCTGGCAAAGATAAAAGTCTTGGTGTATTATGTGGTCATGTGAAGTCAGCTAGCTAGCGTATGTAAGCATTTTCCAGCAAAATAGTACAGGTTGTTGAACTAATGATGTCGTAGATATTTTTTAAATTTTGAGCAGGCTGTCATAGAACCAACTACTGGCAAAGATTGAAGACAACTTCTTTTCTGTTATACAAGACTGCTACAGAGCTGAATTTTGTACAGTTTATATGCGACTATACCAAGAACGAAATGATGATACCCAGTACATGGACCAGTGCAGGTTAGGTGCAGGTAGACATCAGAAATACCTGCACAGCTCCAATTTTACCTGCACTAACCTGCATATACCCAGTACATGGACCAGTGCAGGTTAGGTGCAGGTAGACATCAGAAATACCTGCACAGCTCCAATTTTACTTGCACTAACCTGCATATACCCAGTACATGGACCAGTGCAGGTTAGGTGCAGGTAGACATCAGAAATACCTGCACAGCTCCAATTTTACCTGCACTAACCTGCATATACCCAGTACATGGACCAGTGCAGGTTAGGTGCAGGTAGACATCAGAAATACCTGCACAGCTCCAATTTTACTGACCTGCATATGCAGGTGGTATTTCCAGCCCTGATAATGATATTACTATAACTAGTATAAGGGCACATACCTCAACACCAGTAGCTGTATTTAAAAATTGGACATTTGAAATTACACGTATAGAATATATACAAGGCATGACAAATTAGGTGTCAGTTTTAGCACAGCTGTTATGCCTCCATTGTCAAGTGCAAAGTCATACGTCCAAGATATTGACATGTTTTGCCACGATATCGACAAACTGCAGAGTGGTAATTACTCTTTTTGGCAGTCCCCGCATTAGTAATACATTTTCACCTCCTCTTCTTCCTGGTGGCCCAAAATGCCTACAGTTGATTGGCATAATAATGCATGTAGTAAACGACCAACGTCTTAATTGGCTATTTGGGCATATCTATGATAATTATAGTATTTCCGTCATTTGCAAATTGTGGGTTTTAAATTCTTTATGTTTAGAAGTTGTATCA